TCATCAAGTTTTTTATCTAAAATCTTTCAGACTTTGTAATGGCAACAATGAACAAATCATGCGACTACTGTAAATGTACCATAACAATTTCACGCTAATGCAAGCATTAATAGTGAAGTCTGAGAACGCTGTAAAAACATTCCAGTTATTCTAGAAGAAAGTATATGATTTATCGCAGTTCTCAGTGTCTGCTTCACGGTCAAGCATGATACGAGCATTAGACAATCTCTTGATTGAGAAAAATGCAAATAATATGCGTGGGTAAAATGTGTGTTAAAATTGATTCAATATAGAGGTTTCACCTACCTCCGATTCAGTTCATCCAAAACCTGCTCCAATAACCTCATGATTGAAACACGTCTGTGCGGTTTGTCTTCCGAAAGTGGTGTAAGCCATCCATCGACCAAGGGACCAGTGTCATCGGCAGTTGCTCCGAAATTGCAGAGCAGTAAACATCCAGAAATCAGCTCCTCTACTCTAGCATCTAGAAAGCCTTTCATGTCTTCAAGCGCCTGCTGCCTATGAGCTTTGATCACATCAGATTCTGCCTTTGTTGTATGCGACAAAACCCTCTTTTGTCACGGCAGGAGGAATCTAAAATCGACAGCAGCCAAGTACACTTTCGTGAGCCAGGGGATGGAAAAGACTTATCTACGGAGTAGAGTTATGCTGCATATGCAAAGATCAAATGCGCCGGACTTGTTGCTATGATTCATCATGCGTAGGAATGCTTACTGATAAAAGAATGCTTATATTTACAGGACTTAGAATAATGAAACACCTGATGTCTAACTTTGGAGAAATAAGTGGGAAAAGACGTCAAGTTCGACTTTCAGATCACCAACATATTTCTCAGCTGCTGTGTTAAAATCTAGCGAGAAAAGGATGCATTCGTATCTGTTGTGGATTTACTTGACTTCGAAGGATACTGTTACTGTGCTCCTGCTCAGATCTATCCGACTGAAGTATGCCGTAGACTCAAATGAGAAGGATAAATGAGTCGTGATTGAATCTGAGAAATCCAGTGCAATGTGTGGGTGGAAAGAAACACATTCACCGAGGAACGGGGGAAAATCGACCACATTAGTATCCAGGTGCACCAGCGTAGAAGAATTCTCTAGACTCGGAGGCTAGTAGCTGGAGAAGGGCGTTGACATCTCTTGTAGGAAGATCATTGAAGTGCGCTTGAAAGTCAGGTTCATCTTGTTCTCGTAGTTTGTACAATTTCTTTAACAGCTTCGTCACTTCACTCACAAGGAATGATAAAGTTAGGTTCTGACGAACACCCCAGATCTTATATCAGAAAACTTCCTCTTTCTGCAGAAGGCAGAGTTAGCCGCCCAATGCATGGACCGATGATATGGCAGCCTGATTCGATCACATTCTGCTGTAATTTTGAATTTTTCGCATAGCTATCTTGTCCATCGTCTTAAATCACAAGTAGCTTCCAAAACAAGTTGGAAGGCTTTTCTTCCATCATATTTTTCTGTGGAATGTTAGATGACGCGAAAATTGCCTCGGTTGTTGCCTGACTTTGAAACACAGTTGCACAAATTCAGTCATGAGATCGAAATTTAGACAGCCAAAACTTTGAATAAAAATTCTATAGAAATTTCTAATATATTGTGAACCTCTCGAAACGTCTTAAAAGAGTTTAGAAATATAATGAAGCCAAGGGAAGGAAAGGTATTCCATAGTTTTTCGAATTCTTGCCTTATTGATCGCTAATGACTAAGAGACTTTACATCGTACTCTTTATATACCGTCCAAGAGAACCGCATGATCAGACTTAGGGTGAGATTTGGGTACTTTAGATAGTGGACTCAGGAGTCTGCCTGGTGGCTTCTACCAGCAATTTGCAGTGTGAACATCCCTAGCCCGAAGACTCATCCACTATATTTTAGTGGAGGTCTTAGAAGGGGATAGGCTCTATACAGAGCTCAAGCAAATCACTTCAGCTCGGCTTGATGGGGTCTTCCCATCGTTTGCTGATATCCACCTGGGCCCCGTGTACCTCAGCACAGATTCTTTTAAATAAATTTTTACTATTTTCCAACACGTGCTTAGGTCCATCCTCATTGATAATTGGCTGAATTGGCCACATTCACATTCACACGTTCTTTGCGCTGCTAGTCTTCCCTGCGTTCATGTGTAAGCCATCTCCTCTCCGTATCAAATTTCGAAAACAAATTTAGTGGAACCCTGAAGGATGGAATTGGTAGTAACAAAAACTCTACAAATTAGAATATGTTCTCAATGATGTCAAGCTAGCTATTTTTTTCAAAATAAAGGCTCTAGGCTTATCCACTTTTGTCAAACTTTCGGACTACTTATCAACCGAAATTGATGAAGCGTATAAAGTTGAACAACTGAGAATGTCCCATAAACAGGTTAAGCTAATTGGACCCATACAGTTGTAGCAAAAGTTTGAAACAAAAACCCGTTGCATCACTTGGATGTACATCTCCAAGTCTACATCTGGTAGCTGTGAACCTGGGTACGGTACAGGATGCTCATGCGAGCTGCCCTTCGTCAACAGCTACTTCAAGTGTCCCGTCTAATTTTCAATTAAATTAAAGAAAGTTGTTGATGATTCTTTACGTAGGATAATATTATGTCTTTTTGCAGCCTTTGCAGACGCGAGAAAGGAATCCCGTCGATGCTTGGAATGATTGCAATACCACAGTTCACAACCGTAGATAACGAAGAAATGCCCTCGGACTCCAGGTAAGGCCTTCTTCCCACAATTTCTATCTGTACGATTGAAGAAAGTCTGGCATTGTTGCCTGTACTCCTCCAATTTGTTAAAAGGGCGTATCGCTTTGTAGATCTCGATACAGCTTCCTTCAGCACGACTTTCATCGTACGATTCTCGACCTTCTTCGTTGTTGACGTAGACGATGATACTCTGTCTTTTTGCAGCCTTCGTAGACATGAGAAAGGAACCCCGTTGATGCTTGGGATGAACGCAATAGCACATTCCACAACCATAAATAAGGCAAAAAATGCCCTCGGACGCCAGAAAAGGCTCCATTCCCGGTAAAAAAAAAAAAAAGGAGAGGGTCAATCATAATGTCCAGAATAGTGAGGTCCAGAAAAAAGGGCTTCGTATTCAAGCACGCAAATGGTTGTTATCACGTTACGCTTTTTATCTAGGCCTCAGCTGATGCCAAGAAACTGTTCTGGCTTCCTAGATATCTTCCTTTCGTATGATCTTCTAACAAATTGACCAAACATGCTTGGCAGGCCATTGGATAAGCACGAAAAAAGGTATTCTTGTCTCTGCATTCATTCCTTCACTCTATGCTTCTATTTGCAAAAGGTTGCAGAAGTATATATGACAGAATCTGTTTGGGTATATGAGTTCAAAAGCTGTACGCATGCAAACAATCATGGTTGTACCCAGCAACTGCAAAAGATGCCTTTACTCGTATGGAAATATTTTATCCACTATTTGATTTAAAGAGTTGGGAGACATAAGTCAAGTCTGTGTGCATCTTCACGAATTTCGAATATTTTTTTGATGATTTTAGCATATTTCACACCGGACACGTTAGGTGTTACAGGAGACTATTTCATCCCTGCACAGCCGCGATTGTGCGCTACCGGGTCATATCTCTATACATCGACTGGTGCTGAAGTCATTTCACTCCCTACGGCGCCTAGCAAACATCCACGACAGATAAGTGTCCTGTTATGGTTGTTCTCCCCGGGTTTCATCTACCACTTGAGCGACGTAGAGAGTCTAGAGAAGTGTCAGAGGGCGTAGAGCTGGACAAAACAAATTTCTCAGCAATGCAATATCTATTTTCTACGCAAAATCAGAAGTGTGAAGGAAAGGAGTTCCGGTGACTCAGATCCGTCTCGCTCAAAAATGACTTTCTCTCGTGCATATATCTCGCCGAGGGCTTCTTCGAACTTTTGGAAGTAGATCCTTGTCGCTGACTCTCCAATGTATGCTTCCATTGCTTTGAAAGTGGCTCCGCGATGCGCATTTGTTTTTGCTCGAGCCGCCTCTCTAGGATCCAGATATACGCGCAACAAGTCTTTTAAGAAGATGGTAGAAATATCCCGTCTCTGAACTTCAAAGACAGAGCCGTAACTTTCCAACAGCGTATTTACGTCGTCCATGTTGCGAGCGTAAAATGGGTTGTTGAAGTCATCCCTCAATTGTACAGGGACTGTACCCTGTCAATGGCCAGTAGCAGCAGTTGTGTAAACTGATGGATGATTAAGGAAGAAACTAAGAAAGTTGCAGCACATCCATTTCGGGGAAAATGGGTGTTTTGCTACAAGCAACAGAGGTGCGGTTAAAATAGACACTATAGCTGGTGTGGACAAAAATATCTGTCTAGATTTTGTCATGCATTTTACCTCACGAACCAGGGAATCCCAAACATCGTCTTCACAATCTTCCGGATTGCTCGTCGGGGCGTATTAAGAAAATCATGAAGAGTAATCCTCCGGGCCCAATTTCATGAGCCCTGGCGGCAAGGAATCTGTCGAGATCTCTCTTTGCCTGCTCTGCAAAAGCTTCTTTCGTAGCCAAGCTTGACCGTTTAATCTGAGTGTTACCACCGTTGTAAGCTGGAGACGCTTTATCTCGAACTGCGGCCGGAATCTGAAAATTTTCCAGAAGCAACGCAAATTCATAAATCCCACTTAAATAGTTGCTTGTGGACTCCAGATCTTTGCCTTGGCTTCCCAGATTAAACCCTAGATACGTCCATATGAGAAATTGTAATCAGTCTCCTCATTATATTTTTAACTGCCTGGTCCTTTCCAGCACACGCTGCTGCTTCTTGAATGGTCGGAGCGAATGAGAATGGATTGCGAAATAACGCAATATTAGAGAAGGACTTGGAGTGAGTCTGATAGCTAGCCGAACTAAAGTTCCTCAGAGTACAAGTGAACTTGTATGAAGAATCAACTGCGATCGCTTAAACGAGACGTGATTAAGTGTTGTAGGAGTAACTTACTATACTGGACAGGAACTGACATCAGGAAGCGTTCATGAGTACCTCAGAGAGCCAGTGAAGAGCGAAGGTCGAGAGAGCAATGTTGATGGTGGACTTGGGAAAGAGGCGATCATAGAAGGAACCAGGAACGGCTGCCGACATATATTTCTGGACCTTCTCCTCATCAGAACGAGGTTGTGAAAATAGGAACTTAATCAGCGTGTTGAAATCGGTGTTCGGTAAGTCCTGGAAGTAGACTTGTATCTCTGGGCCAGAACTGGTATCCACCTCTGCTTCCTTGTATCTCGCCCGTACCTGCTCGATCACTGCTTCCACGTTACGTATGGTGTTCGGGCCGGACGAGCAACCCAGGTCTGCGATTCTAAAAACCTGATCACGATCCGTCAAACTCATGGACTTTATATCTTCGAATAACTTGGGCAGGGTCATGGCGACCATTCGTGCTTGCCATGTTGAATTTTGGGCGTCGCTGTTCTCTCCATCTCCTCCTGTCATTCCCGAAAACATGAAGTCCAACTTTCCGGTAGAAGGATCAGAAGAAGTTGTATCTTGCCCCATTATGAAATGGAAGGTGAGCCTGCTGGGTGCTGCTGCTCCGTTCTGCCACGCAGAAACTCTCGATCTTTTCTTCTGTATTATATGGATTAGGAGCCGAATTCGACTTCTGGGAAGGATCCGAAGAGAGCCCGATTGCAGTCCCCTCCACCAATCTTGTTATACTCTATCCTGAATCTGAAGTACTTCACCCATACTTCTCCTCCACATGCTCTGCTTGGGAGAAGCAGTCAAACTCACCCTACAAAAACCACAACTGAGTATTATACTTCCTGATCGGTGGTTTGTACTCCACATCCTTTTAAAGGATGTGGAGTACAAACCACCACCAGAGATGTGGGGCACGCCCCCCGCCCCCCGCCAGAAAAATCCTGGCTCCGCCCCTGAGTACACACCACCGATCAGGAAGTATCGAGAGAAAGGGGACTGAGGGAGGGGAGTGGAGGAAGGTGGATGATTTTGAACCGGAGCTTTCAGTACATATTACTATATTGCTGAACTACAGTACTACCATGCTTTCTCTCAGGTGTAGAAGTCAGCTCCAGAGACAGTCCATTTGCAATTACAAAGTTCAAGTACAACAGCCGAAACCCTGTGACAACTCAGACAGCGATCAGTATATGTCATATATTTTTATGATATAATGTTTATACTGTGATAAATACGTAATAAGAAGTATTGGACAGAATTTTCTTACATTCTTTGTAAAGTATCATGTTTGAAGGAATTATAAGTAAACTTGTCCAAATATGAATAAAGATAGAATATTACAGAGATTTTTAGAAATTTTAACTAAGATGTGAAGTAGAGTAGGTTGAGCTTTAGATGATTCCTATGATCTGAGAATTTGTAAGTCTCTTTGCAATATCCATACAGCACTTCTTCTACCCTGTCTAAACTTGCATTTGGACAATAAAGTACTTGCAAATTAGTAGAATAATTATACAACTAACCTTATTACTGTTAAGAGTTAAGAGTTAAGTGAGGTCCTCTGATAATTCGCGTTGGTTTCATCTCAATTTATGAAATTGGTTAAACTGTCATTTCATAAAACAACTCACGAAAGCAATGGTTGACACTTTCAGTATATAAATAAATACTTGTTACCCACCACCATTAGTAGCTAGCTACGTAATGACTGTTTAGCACTTTGAGGTTTGAGTTTTTTCTCACTTCATTAGTTTTGGTGCTTTGATTGTTAACTTGTTTAGACGCTTTTTCAATTCATACCTTGACACTTATAAGGTTTTGGAACTTTTGGGTTTGTCTCTTCCAATGTTTAGGCTAGCAGTAATTTTATTCAAAAATAGCATATACGTCCAAACATAGCTCTCCGGAAACCAAAATTAAGAGAGTTGTAACCAGAGTGATATAGACTGAAGGTTTTAAGAAAACTATACGTTGTTTTCTCATATATATGGAAAGTAGTATTCATTTGACGACCATTTCACACTTGTTTTTCCATGGAATCATACAAAACGGTAGAACTGGTGTGAAAATGGGGGGAGTTGAATTAAACATTGCCAAATAATATGTTTTTGGTGAATATTATTGGTAAGAGCTACAAATCAAATATAAGCTTTAGTTTTGGACAAGACTTTTAGACTTAAAACCTTACTTTCAATCACAAAACTTAAAAATATTTTCAAAGAGATAATCACTTATTGTATAATTGAATTAAAATATAAGTTGAAATACGATCATTGATACATAGCGATATTCGACACTATATTTGAAATAAGTTGATGAATACGATCATTATATTAGAACATATTAGGATATTTAACACAGGTTTTAATCCCAAGCCCTAAACCCAAAATTTTATTCATTGTTCTTATAAAAGATATTGATTTTCAAAATTTTGAAGAGGAAAAAAATGAAGTAATAATACATACCAGATATTACTCTCCGTAACTATGTTGTATACACCATTATCATGACATACAATAACGTGATATATTATATACTGATTGATGACTTATAGAAAAAAAGATGATATAATCTACACTATACTCTTCATTTAATTCTGCACCCAATGCAAATAGTCGAGATCACATCAAACATAAAATTTCATCCAAAACTAGATTTAGATCTAAGTGTAAGGTGTAAGACAAAAATACTAAATCGGTTTTTTTAAGAATTAAAATTGCCTAAGTACCAAAATTTATCATACTTATGTGACCAAGTGTGGTTCCAAGTGATAAGGAATGTCTTGCTCGAAATAAATTCAAAAGAGAAACTCAAAGAGACCTTCTTTGAGGTCTCCAACCGTAAGTCTATATAAGAGTATATTAACGGAGATGAATGTTCGAGATCTACTTCGGGGACAACATTCGGATAACAACGGGACAAAGGGGACAGGTTCCCCTACATTATTCCTGCTCCTCTGATACCTACTTTCAGACCGAGGAAGGGAAGTTTGGAATCACGAACATCTTCCATGCAAATCTTGCTTGACATTCTGCCCCATCTCTATTAAGCAAATAAATACCTCTTTTTTTTGCTTGTGAGTTTGGAGTTGTGATGATCGTGATCTTCCACAATGTAGACCTATTCATACATATTCGCTGGCCCTCCCCAATCCCCAGCATTCTGGCTACTACCTCCAGAAACATTTGTTCGATGGACTGGCGTCTGTTGTGCTTTTTTATAGCATGTCGAGGTTTTATGTAATGTTCGATGCTTGTTTTGAAGAATCTCGGATTCTCATATATTACTTCTGTCCTCTGGATGGAGGTTCTTTTGGTGACAAAACTATCAGAGAATCTGGCTTCACAGACCGTTATCTCTATATATTCTTGCGGTATATGAACACATAGTCTTCGCGAGAACCGTTAATGTCAGACTGCAAAGTCTAGACGTCGAGTCTAATTCACTACGTCTCCAGTTGCATATGTCGTATCAGTAATCAACTACTAGAAAGGTTTTTCTACCTCAACTGTTCTGTGGTGTTTTAGAAAATGTTTGAAAAGGCTAAAGAAAGTACACACAAATCCTTGCACGAAAGACTTCCCATATTGAGATCTGAATTTAGTTATAACGAGAGCGGTTTTCGTGGTGTTGCTGCATCAGCTGCACTTTCTGAGTTTCCATCACTTGATCAGTAGATCTGGATAGGAGAAAGTTCCGAGGACTTTTAAGCGTACTGATCACCAGGACAATGTCCATTGCAGTTAGTTTCATACGTTCTAGAGTGAGAATATGATGTATCCATAGCAGCAGGATTTAGATCGCAATGGATACTCCATTGAACGCAGTACGAATAGTTGTATGTAGATCCCTCTCCTTTAGACTTTTTTAGGATTTCTAGACGAATTGCATTCGAAAAACATAATGAATATTTGCCTGAAGCCACTTGTTCAAACATAAACCGCTTTCATAATGCGCTTGTAAGTGACCTCGGTTGCAGGGTTGTCGAGCTTCCAGGTCCTTAACCAGCCTGTAAACTTTAGCATCCTGATCAGGCACGCGCAGAACATCCGCTTGCTTCACGGAAACTTGAATCAATGAATTGGACACGTCTTCCGATTCTTTCAGATTCCTCCCATTGTTAAGGTTGCCACGGCCAGAAGATGGCAACCCGTTGATTCTTGGAGATAGGCCATGCATGGACAATTTCCATGGCAGTCGACAGAATTTTATTGATATCCAACCTCCTATAACCACTTCCTATTGTTTTACGGGACTCATAACGCACGAGATGCATAACTTCTTTGCTAAAGCGACGAGGTAGCCGCTTTTGGGCTTCCTCCATACAGAAAGACATCCATACAAAGACATCCGTGTGCCAACGGACGTTGCTCCTTCTGTCCCATGAAAGAACAAATTCTGAGCAAGAGGAATCCGGCCCGGCTTGTAGACTTAGCAGAAACCCTCGTGTAGCTCCAAAAGTAAGTGGCATTGCTCATGAGAATCACAACTAAAACCCGCAGGACATAGAAACGTCTCTTAGTGGAGCACCTACAATCCGTGAACAAGAAAACCGACGCCTTTGCAATGTCTGTTATTACCTGCTCAATCGTCAGTCTATATTTAGTTGGATTGGTCTCAGAACCTTCCTCTCGCCGGATGCGATGCTCCAGCTTTTTTCAGCGAGGTTTGGATCTTTGTCGGAAAGAAGCACTTTCTTCTTGGTCTCTGCCTCTCGCCGGAGCCTCTGTCTCGACTCTACTAGACGTGTAGCTGAGCACGACGTTGCAGGATGCTAATTAAAGGAAAAGAATGACAAATGTATATTGTGTATAAATGGACTGCTGCATGTTTCCTGATTGTAGTTGAACATGTCTAGATGTTAAAGTGAATGCAGAGGAACCCAGTCTGCGCTTGCTTGGAATGAGGGAGCTGTTGTTGTACTCGATCGTGTATGTGCATTAAGATTCATGAACAGATCTACAGCTGGAGCTTTTCATCGTGGCCAAGTTCCCTGTAGCTATTTATTGACCGAAGACCCAAGGCAGGAAGCTGCTTCGAAATTGGAAGAACAGAGGATAAGATGAAAACAGAGTTGGAAAGTTTCATCATCTCATCATCAGAGTTTTTTCTGATAACTCATCTTCAATATAAAAGGGTTTTATTAACTTACAGTGTCATTATTAAGCGTTGTTTCGCAAAATTGTTTGGTTCATCACTCAATTTAAAACTTCAAACACATTCAAATTTACTATAAAAAAAAATCTATATTTATAAAACAAGATCTCACACAAAGAAAATTTTAAATTTGTTTCGAATACTAATGTTTACATCTCCATTTACAATATATTAATATTCATCATTAAAAATAATGAAAATATTATAAAATTTTGGTACGTATCACTAGATTTTATTTAAAAATGTATAACAACATGTCATTGTTCTATTTAAATATTCTAGAAAAAAATTTCCCCATGCTAAGATGATGATATGTCATTGCAGATTTTAAAATTTCAATTTGCCAATAACTTTAATTTACAATCTATCCAACCAATCATATCATTTTATTTGGTCTTATAAAGAGATCTTTAGAATTTTAATATTTTTTAATTAGTTTTGATAATATAATTTATAAAAGATTGCCTCTAATTTCGATCTTTGATAAAGTTAAAAATGTTTATGCTATTCAAAATTTATACAAAGTCTAATTATTTTGTCAAATATAGCTTAACTTTGTCAGAATTAAACTACCTATGA